AGGAGATGCCAGGAGCTGACTCATCTGGACGCAGGGTTGCCCTGCAGAGGAGAATGCTGTCAGCAGGGAGCTGAGGAGATGAAGCTCTCTCGTTCTGTGAGGGTGCACCCTGCCGTCATCCTCGGAAGTCTGTGACATGCCGTCATCAAATGACACAGTCTTTTTCTCAAGACCTTTTTGTTTGAGTAAAAAAAGAATCGGGAAGATGACTTGCACTTTTTCTGTGCCCTCCTAGCATTCCGCACAACTTGTGTGTTGATGGCAGATGATTCTGATACCTCAGATTTAGTGGGGAACAATTTTTCCTTGATTGGTGACTCTTAAAACTAGAAGCTAAGTGGGAAGGCACCATGCGAGAGTATGGATTACAAAGACAAATAAGATGTGGTATACATAAATTGTTTACAAGAGATCATTGTGCATCACAAATAGTGTTATTGTAAATTGTCAATTTTGGTTTGATATGTAATCTTTCATACTGGAAACTATGGGGTTTGGTGTCGTTATTGAAAGGTGGAGAGTATGGCTCCAGGTTTGAACGTAAAGGACTCAAAGTGCAACAACTCCAGGAATCTTGACACTACAGAAGAGTGGGGGGGGAAAGCCTTCACATACCTTAAAATGAATTACTGGTTAACTACTATTAATATGCCATGGGCCCAGAGACCAGCATATAACACTGCAAGATCAATAAGGGTATTTATCATGTGTTGGGTATATTGATCTCTCATGAAGGAGTGAGTCATATTTCACGCTGCATACGTTAGCACAAAAAAAGTAGCAGAGCAATTGGGAAGCCTTACCAAAGAACTGAACTATGGAATGGAAGGTAAATGTATGGAACCACAACTATGAGCATTGGAATAAGACTGGCGAGAGAGATAGAAACATCAGTGAGAGAGAATCATTGGTTGGCTGCCCTGATTGGGCAATAATAATACTTTATCTATCTATCTATCTATCTATCTATCTATCTATCTATCTATCTATTTTATTTATTTATTGGCTTCCCCTATCCTCCTATATAATCATTGGTTGGCTCTCCCACAATAAGTCTGCAAGTGTCATCTCTGCAAACGTCTCTACTGCAAATGCTGTTGGTACATGCTTCTCCAGTTCCTTTCCCAGCTGTGGGATCCAGTCCTGCCAATCTTTGTTCCAGATAGCACACATTAGGACTACACCGAATACATAGCAACACTTAAAACTTCTAACTTCATAGTTTCATTGGCATCCTGGCAGGTGTTGATAATTCCTGCAAGGGACCACTGGTTAAGAGAGCTACTACATTCTCTTGGGAACAGTGCTATTGTGCTTCCTATGATTATTAATACTGTTAAGTGCTAACCTTGGCCAGTTTTTATGTTAGAAAAATAAAGAGTGAGATTCAGGTTATAGTCAGTAATATTGTATTAACTTTGTACAGTGAGAGATAGTTATTAGATTTATTGTGGTGATCACATTGTAAGGTATATAAATGTCTAATCACTGTGTTATACACCTGAAACTAATATGATATTGTATCAGTATATCCACTACAATTTTTGAAAAAGAATTTTTTTTGTTAATCCTCATCTGCGGATATATTTCCATTGATTTTTAGAGAGAGTGGAAGGGAGGGGGAGAGACAGAGAGAGAGAAACACGACACAATTGGTTGCCTCCCTGCACACACCCTAGTGGGCCGGGGATGGAGCCTGTAACTGAACCCGGAAGGAACCCTTCAGTCTCAGGGCCAGCACTCTACCCACTGAGCCAACCAGATGTTTTCTGTGGTCTTTATACTTAGTCATACTGACTATGCAGGTAAAATATCCCTGTCACAGTGTGCATTCAGCATGGCGTTGGGCAAGAGAAACTAGTCACAGTGAGGGGCCTGCTACGGATGGTGATTCAGCACAGGTTTATAGAACTAGCTGTGAGTTTTTACTGTATTTTTTTTTTCTGTGATTCAGAAAATGGTTAATAGGCTATTAAGAGTTTGTACATGAGCCCTGGCCTGGTTGCTCTGGTTGGAGCATCATTCTGTACACTAAAAGGTTGTGGATTCAATTCCCAGTCAAGGCACATACCTAGGTTTGGGTTCTATCCCAGGTTGGGCATGTACTAAAAGAAAAAAAAAGGAGTTTGTATGTGGAAAACCACTTTCTGATGATATACATATTTCAAATTTTGTATGGTTAGTTTATGTATTTTGTAGCTTATGAGTTGGAAATCTTACTTTCTGATTTATCTCAAATTAATAGTGACACTTAGCCTCACTTACCAGCTTTGATGACATCCGATGTTGAAGGGACGCCTCTAGTTACTGTTTTGGGAATTTGCTATAGCGGAGGTTGGAGAGATGGCTGTGCACTGATTGTCCTGAGAATTTCTTTCCATTAGCTTCTTTTACCTGCCTACATATCCCAAACCTCTCTATATTAAAAATGAACAACATCTTATTACTCTCTGGAGCTTCTATTTCTTTTAGTCACATTTATTTTGACATCAGGCTACTTGAAAAACCATTATGTATTGATCCCTTTTGCAACTATTTACCACCTTGTGGCCAGCAGTGTGCTAGGCACAGGGGTGCACAGGTGCTAACAGGCATGGTGCCTCTTGCTGCATCTTCCATTCTGGTGAGACAGAAGCACCATTGCTGTTTCTTCATTGCTCACTTGCTCCCCGCCCTCTTGCTCCTTCTATGCTAAAAACCTAACCCTCTGTTGGTCTTTTCCAGATCTAGTTTTGCTTGAACTCTTAGCAGCAGCGGACAGGTCAGCCTTCTTCCTCCACAACCCATGTCATCTTTGGCCTCTGTGACATTGCGTTTCTCCTCAGTTCTCCCTGACTTCAGCCTTGACTCTCCCCTCAGAACATGCTTTTCTGTAACAGCTCCCTCCTGCTCTCCCAGAGGCAGCCAGCATGGCCCAGTGGTGACTCCTGAACCTCAGCCTCTGCCATGAGTGCAGGTGTCAAGTCCTCACTCTCGCCCATTGCTCCCACTTGTGTGCCCCTCTGGCACCTTGGTTAAGCAGAACTTAACCACCTCCCTCTCCTCTGCCACGTCCAGGCTTCCCACTCTCCCTGACATCTGCTTTGCACTTCTTTGCTTTATCCTGCAACGTAATTTCTGACGTCCCATCTGTCCTCCCGTTCTGTTGAGTTTTGTCTTCTTCATGTTTCTGGCCCAGGCCCCCTCTCTTATATTTGAGTCTTCCAGGTCTCTCCCTGACGCCTGCAGTGGCTCCCTAGTGGCTCTCCCAGCCTCTGGTCTCCCTTCCCTTCCCTTCCCTTGCCTTACAAATTGCCATCAGATAAATCAGCCCCAAGCACAGCTCTCGCTCTCTCCCTCTCCACTCCTTGCTCAGAAATCCTCAGTGGTTCCTGAGGATTGGAGTGGTTCCACTCCATTACGAGAGGCCAGCCAGAAAACTGGACGGAGGCTTTCCCTCACCTTGCACCAGCCCACCGTCAGACTGGACCTCTCTTTCCCTTTTGCACTGAGTTCTTCAACCCCTGTTCATCAACCCCAAATTTGCCTTCCACTTTCCTGCTTCCTTTTCTTGGTTCCTACAGCCCCTTTCTCATTTTTCTCATTTTTTTAAGCCTGTTTTCTGCTTCTCTTTTAAAGTGCAACTCAGATGCAGTTTTTCTTTTTTTCCCATTTAAAAATTTAAAATTTTATTTTTTTAATTACAGTTTACATTCAGTATTATTCTTTATTAGCTTCAGATGTATAGCAAAGTGGTTAGAAAATCATGTACTTTACAGAGTGGTCTTCCTGCTGCTTCAAGCACCCACCTGGCCCCATATATATTTATCTCGATTATTGACGGCATTCCCTATGCTGTAATATATATCTCTGTGGCTTTTCTATAACTACCAATTTGTGCTGATGAATCCCTTCACATTTTTCACCCAGCCCTAACCCTTCTCCCCTCTGATAGCTGTCAGTCTGTTCTCTGTGTCTATGAGTCTGTTTCTATTTTGATTGCTTGTTTTGTTCATCCAATTACACATATAAATATTTGTCTTTCTCTGTTGGACTTATGTAACTTAGCAAAATACCCTTCAGATGCAGCTTTATCCTGAGGAGGTCTCTGTAATTCCTTTCTAGGCTGCAAGTCATGGTTACAGCCTTTGAATTTTTGTGAAAGTTTGTGGGTGTTTCTGTTTGAGAATCCTTGTTGTTATTTGTAATCCCACCATATATTTCCCCCTAGACTGCAGACTCCTTTGGGTATGAGCATCCTGACACCTTGCAGCCTTTTCAGGCATCTGGACCAACTCTTTGAACATAGGAGCCCCTTTAGTTGTTCATTGGAATTGACAGTATAAAGTGTAGACCCACGACTGGCAAATTCTATAGCCCATGGGCCCACTATCTGTTTGTGAATAAAGTTTTATTGCAACAACCTGTCTGTTCTGCAACTGAATGCCCACAAAGCTTGAAATAGTTACTAACTGACCTTTTACAGAAGAAGTTCCTGGTCTAAATCATTGTCCAGACTTCTGAAGGATAGGGTATCAGCTGTGGAAGGAAGTGAAGGAAACAATGTTTGCTTAAACTTTTAACTTTTCGCTTTGACTTTCTGACATATCTATGTGGCCACCATAGTTAGGGCACTGGGATTTTTTTTATTACCTTGTTTAAAATGAAGTATAATTACTTTTGTAATAATGTTGTAGACGGCCGGCCGAGTTAACTAGATTTTATCTCTCATTTTTGGACATTAGGATAAAAAGTTACTGGTCAGGCTTTATCTAATTAAAATGACCCTTAAAATGTGTTTTGTATTCTTAGTAAAAGGAATCTGCAAGAATTTGTCATCTGCGCCACCGGAATTATGTCAACCCTGGGAACCCTCCTTTATTTTGGCTGCCTGTTCAGGTGCCTTTTTCTGCAGCTCTGAGATCTGAGGAGGATGGCTATGCATTGCCAAGGTTTAGAGGTCAAGTTTTGTGAACTTCCAGATTAATACCATGTTGCTTTTTTCTTTTTTTTCTTTCTAGACGGGCGGATGGTCATCCAGGATATTCCTGCTGTCACCAGCAGAGGGCACGTGGAGAACGCACCTGACCTGGTTTCAGACTCCACCTACTACAGCAGCTTTTATCAGCCCTCTCTGTTTCCGTACTACAACAACCTGTACAACTATCCGCAGTACCCCGTGGCCTTGACTGCTGAATCTCCTTCCGGGGACATGGGAAACCCTCTTGGGGGATCCCCGGTGAAGAACAGCCTTCGCAGCCTCCCAGCACCGTATATGCCTGGTCAGACAGGAAACCAGTGGCAGGTAAGATGTTACCCAGAGAGTGAACTGGCTACGTGAAAACCACACACACACACACACACACACACACACACACACACACGCCCAACACTTCTCATATGTATAGGCACATTATACGAAAGATGTAAAGAATTTTTCTCTCTGCACATCAGATTATTTAACCTCAGACATTGTCTGCAAGGAACTGTAAAGAAATATGCATATATTTGTGTGTCTTTTCATTTTCTCATTTTCTAATGTCATTTTGCATAATAAATACCCAGTTGGCCATAGTCAGATTCAAAAGTAGCTTACTATATTATGCCCCACCTTCCCCTGCCTTGCCCCCATTTTCTTTGAGCAGCATAGGAAATGTTGGGTGCGTCTTCCGGATGGCGGTACTCTTCCTGATGAATGTTACCCTGGGAGTGAGACGTGTCCAAATCTGTATGTATGTTCGAATGGAAGAAAGGTAAGAAGAGGAATTAGGTCACTGCTGTGCGGGGCCAGTGTGGGTGTGTTTTTAGCTGGGAACAGAGGCCAGTCTTTCATACTCTGAAATATTTAAAACAGTGTGCAATTTAAAAATAGTGTGCAATTAAGAGCTTTTTAATATTTGGGGGAAAACAAAGTGTTTTCATGATCAGGGAAGGAGCATTTATCAGAGCTGTTCTTTTCCCTCAGTTTTGACCATTCCATCGTGCCACTATATTAGAAACAGTTTCAAGGCACTGAAAGCATTTTCAGGTGGGATTACCACATGGTGGGAACGTGTATAACCATGAGCTCTTGGACTCAACACCTTCAAGCCCCCTCTAGCCGTAAGCTGTTACAATTCTGCGATAAATGTTCTTGTTTTGGATGCATTTACTGTATGTAAACTTTCTCAGCTGGGCATGGATTCCCAGACAATGCAACTTACACATTTAGGTGTTTAGGGCAAATCTTTACCTTCTTATGTCAACTTTTTAAAAATGCGAGTTGAATTTTTTTGAGCAACTCTATTCTATTCTATTTCTCTTTTTTTAGGTGTTGGGAAATTGTTAATATTCAAATCACCCCACTTTTTGGTTTCTCTCACTATTCCTAGGGATCTGACTTTTTTGGCATATTAATATGTCAGCTTTAATACCCTGGGCTACCCATTTTCATACATTTTATTTTTCGAATCATACTTTTTAGAAAAGGGAACTTCGAACATTGGTGTTAAAATTGAGGGGTAGTATGAGTATCAAAGGAAAAGCAGTGATTTATGGATCTTTAAGCTGGGCCCCTACAGGCCTTTCAGAGTGCCATTTGGATTTTATGATTTGAGGCAGGCTCTAGGTTGATTTCTACTGAAGGCTGTCCACTCTGAAAGGAGAAAGACTTCTCTTGTAGTTAATAAAAACAAAACAGTTTATCCTGCAGATTCCCCAGAAGAGCTTCCTGGCTTTCTGGCTGCTTCCAGGCTTTAAAGATAAAGTATGGAGGGTCTCAACCTGCTGGCTTAAGAGGAAAAAGGATGAGAAAGAAAAATCTCAGGTGTTTTCTTAAAGAAAGACAGCTCATGGTCAGCTTTACAGAAGAGGCAGAAATCTCCTAAATTAATTTACCCTCTACTTTGGCAAAGTCTTTCAGGCATACGATGCCTGGCACACTAATGTTTATTCTTACTCCACCTGGAAAACCTGGGAAGGGTGTGGCAGAGGCCTTGGACTTCCTCGGTGATCCCTTACAAAGGTGCTGTCTTAGGGATAGCTAGAAGATGGGGCTCTCCTGCATGGCAGTGTTGCCTGGACTTGGAGGACGGTCTCAGCCACTGTGCGAGGCAAGATCCCCCTGAGGACAAGTCCTTGTGCCCTTGCTAGAACAGTCTGCTGGGTCAGAATCCCAAGGCTCTCTCTTGTTTGTGCCTGCACACGGAAAGCCGTTTTAATCGCGTTAGGTCTGTCTCCAGCCTGTTGAGATTTGTGGCCCAATCATAGGTTCCTGTCCTGTTGGGAAACAGGAATAACATTTGTGACACTGGTACAAACTCACGATGAATAGCTGGTTCCCCCGACCGGCGGCTCAATTTCACTTCTACATTTAATTGCCTGCAAAAACTGTTTATTGCCGTATGCACTCCTCCACGGCAACATTATCTCTTAAATAAACATGTGGTACCAGGTTGACAAGGGAGAGGTGCATATCAAGTGAGTAGAAATAAATATGGGAGGACTCAGAGCCGTACCTGAACATCCTTTCCACCCCTGTGGCAGGCACCTTCTTGATTGCTTTTCAGAAGCTTGTGCCACATTCAGACCACAGTCAGGGTGTGGTCAAATGGCCACACAGGTGATGTCCTTAATTTCGTGGTTATTTTGGGCCCCGTCTGAAATGTCTCATGATATGCTTGTCCCTTTATGATCAGGCACCTCACTGGAATGCATTCACTCATTAAATAAACATGCATGGAGGTCCTACTGTGTGCTAGGGAATCTACCGCTGAACCAAGCAGACAAAATGAAAAGCTGGTCTTGGGGGAAGGCTGCTCTTATTACCTGGGAAACAAGAAGGGAAGGTGGGGACAGTTTAAAGTAGCCTGGGTTTGAAACTGAGATAGAGGCAGGAAGGAAATTCTATTCTGGCACCTGTAGCTTGGAACACAGAGGAAGGTGCCCCCTAGTGAGCATTCCTGGGATGGCCTTCCAGCACCTGGTGTTCTTGATTCTATAACCAGCAGCCTGATGGGCCCTTGTATTCACACTGCCTCCTCTTTTCTTAGCTTGGTTCAGCATCAGAACATCCTGTTAGCTAAAAGAAGGTTGAGAAGAAGTGAGCTCTTGAGCAGGTGCTTGTGGAAATGGTCATAACCCCTTCACTTCTGTGTTCTGGGAGCTTCACAGGAGGGTCCAGCAGTGAGGGGGGGCGGGGGAGCAGGATATGAATCCGAGGTTTAAACTGGACTCCCATTCCCAGGGAGACATTTATAGTTAACAGTAATTAGTTTAAAATATCCCCAGATTTTTTAAAATGTTATGTCAGGAAGAAGATAGCATGCAAAATCCACTTCAAATTTTTTATGTTTTTATTGATTTTTAGAGAGAGAGGAAGGGAGAAGGATAGAGAGCTAAAAACATCAATGAGAGAGAAATATCAATGGGCTGCCTCCTACATGCCCCCTACTGGGGATCAAGCTGGGAACTTAGGCATGTGCCCTAACTGGGGATTGAAAACCAGTGACCTCTTGGTTCATGGGTCGATGCTCAGCTGCTGAACTACACCAGCCGGGCTCCACTTCAATGTTTAAGGTGAAGTAGGCCACCAAGCTGCACCATCGGGCCCCAGGATAAGGTGCATCTGGTCACTTCAGACTTCCTAGTAATTCTGCGCTGAGAACGTTAAGAGACCTGCCTGAGGAACACAGCTGTTAGTGGAAAGCGAGGCCTAAACCTGGGCCTTCCTACCCTTGGGAAAGTGTTCTTTCTACAAGAAGTCTTGTGATCCACTGGGCTACCCACCCACTTCCATTACCCATGTCTTTGACAGGTTAAACTAACCCTGGCTTCCCTTTTTATTGGTCACTATCTATTGCTAGATAAGCCTGACTATTTTTTGCCTCTGGAAAGGAAAATTGACAGTTTGCAAGCAGACACAAGAAGGGTTTATTAGAACATAAACAGTTTAAAACATTTAAAGCAATTTCTTTCCTCAGGAAAGGGTAATTAAAGTAGTTATCGTATTTGACTTGGCCTATTAGGACTAACAGCCATAATTTGTTTCCTTAAAGTGGAATTATAGAGATACCAGAGGCCCAGTGCATGAAATTCGTGCACTCGGTGGGGGGCCCTCAACCCGGCCTGCACCCTCTCGCAGTCCAGAAGCCCTCGGGGGATGTCCAACTGCTGGCTTAGGCCTACTCCCTGTGGGGAGAGGGCCTAAGCCAGCAGTCGGACATCCTTAGTGTTGCCATGGAGGTAGGACAGGCTCCTGCCACCACCGCTGCGCTTGCCAGCCATGAGCCCGGCTTCTGGCTGAGCGGCACTCCCCCTGTGGGAGCACACTGACCACCAGGGGGCAGCTCCTGCATTGAGCGTCTTCCCTCTGGTGGTCAGTGCATGTCATAGTGACCGGTTGTTCTGCTGTTTGGTCAATTTGCATATTAGCCTTTTATTATATAGGATAAATTTCTGTTGATGACTGAAAGAGTTACAAGTTCTATTTCTATGATGTGTATTTATCTTATATCTGGTCACTTTTGTGAATGCTTGTAATTCTAATAATGTTATCATTGCTTATTTAGGTATTTCTAGTTAGATAGTCATTTTAAGAAAACTATTGATCATTTTTCTTCCTCCTAAAAATATCTCCAGTTATGATTTATATTCTTAGTGTGTTATTCAGTTTAGATACCAGTAGTGTATGCTGGTTCCTTCTTTTACAGGGAATGTGTCTAGCAGTTCACTGTGATGTATGAAAATGTTACAAAGAAATGAGGAAAATAGGATAAGTGGGTTTTTCCTAAAGCTAAATTATTCAGTTCAAAAACTTGTTTTTATTGAGACCACACCCTTCCAATATTTAAAAAGAATAAAATGATGATCCTGTTAATTATATATTACATCGCAGAGGCACTTACTTGGTGATATAAAAAGTTAGCAAAACTCTGGCCAGGTGACTTGGTTGGAACATCATCCCATATACCAAAAGGTTGTGGGTTTGATTCACAGTCAGGGCACATACCTGGGTTGTGGTTCAATCCCTGGTCAGGGCCTGTGCAGGAGACAGCCAATTAATGTTTCTCTCTCACATCTGCGTTTCTCCCTCTCTCCCTCTATCTTTAAAAGCAACAATTAAAAAGAAAACATAACCTTGGGTGAGGATTTAAAAAGAAAGTTGGTAAAACTACTTCCGTATCCTCACTCCACCTTCTTTTTTGTTTTGTTTTTTTTGTTTTTTTCACATTTTACCTGTTTGAAGTCCAGAGAAAGCCTAGAAACCACTGCATCAGTCACCATGTCACCATGACAACAGCAAAGTTCTTCAGGATTTTCAGTATG